CTCTCTGTCTGTGGAGCCCACCCTGGAGCTGGAGCTGCTCTTCAGCCAAGTGTTCGATGTGGAGCAGAGCCCTGATGGGCAGTGCATTGACACACTGAGGGTAGGTGTTCAGCTGAAATATAGAAATAACACATTTTCTCTTTACTGAGCAGCATACAAAGAGAGAGTTCAGAAAAATGTGTTGTAACCGTATTTAAGTCTCATTGTGTTAGTCATTTTTTTTTTTTTTTTCATGCAGCGATATTTGGATAAACTAGTAATCACATATAGAGAGGCGAAGTCCCGCCCATCTTCTTCCGACCCATGGGACCTTATTTCGGAAAAATTATGTATTGAAGTCAATGGGGAGAGAAAGATTATCTCTCGATCCCGTTTGAATTGTGCCACGAATTACACATATGATGTTTGTCAATCTTAAATAATAATTTCCATGTAAAAAAAGTCACAGTTTTTTCGTAAAACTGTTGAAATATAAGACTATGAAAAATACGCAACTAGAAAGACTACAAATCCCAGAATCCCGGTCCCGCATGCTGGCTCTTATGAACCGACTAACTCCCCTTGTGTGTATGTACAGCTCTCAACATGCCCAGACTTGGAGTGATTTTCACCTCTTTTAATACTTTCCGCCTCATTCTGAAAGAAAGAAGTGAAATGTGCCAACGTGACGGCCGTCTGGGTGTGTGGTGCGAGACGGGAGATGTAGGTCATTGAGCGGTTTCACACAAACAAATGTGTTACTTCACAGTTTTACGACACATTTTTTTTTTTTTTGACTTGCAAAATTATCTTTTAAATTGACAAACATCATATGTGTAATTCGTGGCTCAATTCAAACGGGATCGAGAGATAATCTTTCTCTCGCCATTGACTTCAATACATACTTTTTCCTAACTAAGGTCCCATGGAGGTCCACCGGAAAGGGAGGGACTTCGCCTCTCTATAAGAACTTTTTTAATGGTTTCCTCCTCACCTGAACAAATATGAAAACTCAATAATAGTTACATTTCTTTATTTAATTTTATTGTATTATACAAATATGAGCCAAACTAAAAAGGTCTTGAGTTGGCCCTTTTTTAAAAGTATGAGCAAAATGAAGTATGTATGAACTTCCACATGATTGTGACACTAGAACAGGTGTCCCAAACTACGCGGGCCGCATTTGGCCCCCGGGCCATTTTTTTATCGGCCCTCAGCTAATTCCAAAAGTATAATGAAATATGGCCCACAAATGAAACTAGTGCTTGTCTTGCTTGTACTTCTCAAATATATATGTAAACATGTATGACAATTCAAGTTGAAAACAATTTCTAACAGATCTAAGTTGATAAGAAAAAAGCCCAATAACTTATTTGTGTAACAATCTTGAAATACACATATATTTCCTCTTATTATAATCAATCTGAGGCTTCTGTTTTAAGGGATGAGCTGCTAATAAAATAAATGAAACCCTCTGGAGAGCTGTGATGGAGGCTGTTGGTTTTCTTAAAGCATTTTCAAGTATCAAGCATCATTTACCTACATTTGATTGATTTTGCTAACTTATAACTGAACTTATGAGGCAAAATACCTCTCCTCTAGCGAGCGGCCCAGCCCTTCGTATATTTTTCTGTATGTGGCCCTCGGTGAAAAAAGTGCACTAAAGTGAACTGTTCATAGACAGTCAGGTACATTGTGAGACATCACCTGTGTTGTTGTGTTCACAGATTGAGACTCACTCTGAGACTCTGGGGTCGTTCTGCGGCAACACGCCTCCCCCCTCTCCCTTTCTCACTCACTCTCATCGTGTTCAAATCCACTTCACCTCTGATGGCTACGGCACTAACAAAGGCTTCAGTCTGGCCTTCAGGACCAGAGGTACTGCATTCTCCTCACACGAGACACCATAGAGGGGTGCAGGGATCACATGTTTTTGTAGGCAAACTCTGAAGTTAGCATCACAAGGGTTCCCTCGCTAAAAAGCAATGGGATGTTTCCATTGGATTTCACAATATTACAGAACATAAGATCTGTTGAAAACAAACGTTATGATTCTAACGCGTTGTTTTCAGCACGATCCTTTCTACATATTTTATATTCATTAGGTCACGTCACCACCGCTAAGCTAAGGGTGGCTAATGTTTGGAGTGATGACGTTTAGTAGTCTCATTTAGACACTTTGATAGCAACTTTCATTTTAAGACGGGTCATTTTCAGACATTCACGAGAGGGACATTTACAGACGTCATTTACAGACGTTATTTCAGGCATCTAACCAAAGAGATGTTTAAAAAAAAACTTGAAAGACAGGGCAACCAGAAGTGGTAAAATGCTGACTAATATCCGTGTTTTAGGACTCATTACTGCACCACTCAATGGGAAGATTGTTTGTTATGAAGTTTGTTGGATCACAAAGTATCACAATTGCTCCTTTCACATGTTGATTACAGATAAGGTGTGTCCGGCGGTGGTGACCTCTGACTCCACTGTGACGCCTCAGCAGGCAGAGTATCGTCGGGGGGAAACAGTGACAGCAACTTGTGATCTAGGCTATGTCGCAAATACTGTGAGTGTACAGAACCTTTTTAATGTATTTTAAATGTGATGTATTTATGCCCCTGTTACGCTAATTATGTCATTCTTTTGCAAAATAGCAAGGCACCCAGGCCCTGATAACACAGTATGAGACGACATGCCAGGACATAGGCGAATGGACTCCCAATTACAAATGTGAACGTGAGTCTGACTATCGATTTCTTCTTATTTGGAGAATGTATCCTGATTTTTTTTTTTCTTTTTTCATACTGACACATTTTCTTCATTGGACCACATTTAGCTGTTGATTGCGGTTATCCTGAGATCCCAGAAGATGGCATCCTTCAGCTGGTGGAGTCGGATAACACCCAGACAAAGTACAAAGACCAGATCCAGTTCCACTGCAGCTCAAAGTACTACACACTGGAAGGAAATGGTAATTACATATATTTAGATTGTACACACATCCATTGTCTGATTGCTTACATAAAAGTGTTCTGGTTTTGTTGTTTCCCCAATCCTCTTTCTTCCATCTTTCAGACACGTACACCTGCAGCGCCAGTGGTGATTGGGCATCAGGGAGTGGCGAAACAGAGATGCCGAAATGCATTGAAGGTACGACTTTTAATATATATTTATGAATCGGGAATGAATCCTAAAACCCATTTAAGCATTTTACCACTTCTTCTGGTGATTGCATTAGCGGTTAAACAATCATAAAAGTCGTGTTCATATGTGGAGTTTATCCTGCTTAACAAAATGTGTAAGTATCATAAACTTTTGTTTGCCACAGATCTTATTTTCTGCTATATTCCAAAACCCAAATTCTTAAATCCCTCTGCTTTTGGTGGAGGGAGCGCTTTGCGATGCTAACTTCCAGGTCGTCCTTGAAAAAAATGATATTCCTACACCGCGCTATTCGTTACATTTTTGAATTATATGAATCTATTGATGACATTTTGTGTATTACAGTGTGCGGGAAGCTTGACAGACACATACCAAGTGCCGGCAGAATTGTTGGAGGTCAGGATGCAATCCTGGGAGAGATACCTTGGCAGCTTCTGATTATAGGTCGGGGCAGAGGAGGAGCGACTCTGATCAGTGACCGATGGGCTGTCACAGCAGCTCATGTGGTGGAAGGGAGGAAGGTAGAAGCTACCCGTGTGTACGGTGGACTGGTAGAAGGAGGAACAAAAGTTATATTGCCTCAAGGAGTTCTCTTGGACATTGAGAGGATCTTCATTCATCCCAACTACATCCAGGGCATGGCGGACCGCAACAATTTCGACCATGATATTGCTCTTATCAGATTCTCTTCCAGGGTGAATTTGGGCCCAAACCTCCTTCCCGTCTGTCTGCCGAAGTCTAACAGGGGCTTGGTGCACGGTGAACATGGCACGGTGTCAGGCTGGGGGGGGACGGAGACTGCAGCCATTTCTCAAAGCCTGAAATACGCTCATATTAAAGTCTACTCCTCTACAGTGTGTCAAAATACACCGAAAACTCCCAAATCCATGGCTGATGGGATAACTCCCAAAACCATGATGTTCACCCGTAACATGTTCTGTGCTGGATCTGATACAGCGGACAGCTGCAGGAGGGACAGCGGGGGTCCGCTGGTGATGCCCATGGTGTATGAAGGCAATGAGCCCTACTATCTGACCGGCATTGTGTCCTGGGGAGCCAGCTGTCGTCAGAAGCAGTTCAAGGGTTATTATGTCAAGGTGGAGAATTATGTAGCCTGGGTTAAGGAGACAATAGATTCAGTCGAACAATCCTAGAAAGAGACGGAAGAGGGAGAGAATACTTTTTACTAACCTTTATATCGTTATAATCAAAGACTGATTCAGATCTTAGAATAGACTATACTATTGTAATGACGTACCTACATTAATAACATTAAGCATGATCTTCTTACTATACTTTTGTATTAAACACATCTGCAAATATACTGCAGAGAGTGTGGGCTTTAACCCACTTCATAACACGATGTATCTTTGTCTTTTAATCAGCGTATACACACTGTCTGTAACTTGACATCCATTCCCTGGAATACTTCATTATTTCACGATTGAACTGTAAATCAAAATGTTTTTGAGCGCTGTGTGTTTCACTGATACTGAAGTGCTCTCACATGACAAACAATAAAGTTCATAACTCATGTTGTTGCTCTCCTGTTTACATTTTTTATTTCTATCATAAAGACATTCATTCAATGTTCATAGACAACCACAAACCAAATGTCATGTTTCTCTAATTTGATGTGTTTGTTTGTTTCAAAGTATATTATTAACATGATTGTCTTTGACCAGATGATAGTGTTTGACTAACCTCTAAATGAAACGCCTCGCTTCTGTGTTTGAAGACGCTGAAAAAGACTAACAGCCCCCTCTAGTGATGGATTCAGGTCTGATGAGGAATTAACATATTGGACCTGAAAGCTACAATTATAATCAGTGTAGTTTTTCTCAATAGATAATAATGTATAGTTCAAAAGATCTTCCTAATTGTCTATTTCAAATGAACTATCCCCCGCATCGACCCCGTTTTCTACATTTTTTAAACCACGAGTTGTTTCGATTTTGCCAAAACAAACAAGGCTTATTCCTGGCATTAACGCAGAGAGTTGCTAAACACAGCAAACGACGGACATTAATGTTTCACTTGAATGTGAGACGTTTCCCCAAACAGCAGAGGATCATTTCACTCACGGATAAATCCTTAAATCCTTAAATCCTTAAATCCAGCGATGGCGTGGACTTCCTGTATCGTCTTGTAAGTTTGGATTTAGTTTTCAACCCATTTTTATGTTTCATTGTAATTGTTTTTGTCATTAATGTCTAGGTTGATTCCAAAATTAACTTTGATTACCATATGTCATTATGGAACTGCTTTTTTCATTACCTTGTGTTTTATTCTGTACAACCAATATTACAGATAAGCATTTTATAGGTTGTCAGCCTTTCAGTATGTCACATATTAAAGACTTGACAATATACGCTTGCCACAGTTGTGTTGATTGTGTCACTTTGTTTACTCTTTTCTCTCTGTTTGCGTTAACTTTGGACCAGCGGTTCAGATGATAACTAACTTGATTTAACTCTGTTTGCACTTCATCCAGGTTCCTGTCAGTGTGTGTGTGTGGGGGCCGGCGGCTGCCAGACCCCGAGCCTGCGATGCACGGGGGGGTCCAGTCCCCCCTCTACCCCCAGCCGTACCCCCCCAACCTGCAGCAGCAGTGGGACCTCAGCGTGCCAGAGGGATATCGCATCACACTCACCTTCACACACCTGGACATCGAGGCTACTGCAGGCTGCTTCTACGACTCCCTCACAGTCAGAGATATATTTATTCATTTGTTTATTACACATGGCAGTTATTTTAAAACAAAACATGTACAACTTTACAAAACATGCACACTTATACTGTTTTTTTTTATAGCGCATGGTGGAAAGGAGCAGGGAGAAGAACATCTTATTTTACCTGCCCCTTCTTACAAAACATTAAAGGAAATTACCATTTTAAAAAAGAAAAAAAAAAAAAAAAAAAAAAAATAATAAAAGCAATATTCTTTCAGTCACAGTCGCTTACAAATACTGAAACAAAACCCCTAATTACACTTTCTTGCTTACAGCCCTTTAAATCATTCGGCAAAGAATTCCACTTCTTTACGAAAACTACAGAGACACACATCTGCTTTAAAGTAGTGCGTGCAAACTGATGCTTAACATTTCATTTCCTCCTATGTTGCTCATCCTCTGAAATGTCCACCTGAGTTGTAGTGTTTGTAGTTTGACCAGTGCTGTGTAATGCAACTCAATACATTTACACATGTACTGTACTTTAGTACAATTTAGATTTACTTTACCTGAGTATTTTTCATTTGATGCTATTTTATAATTTGACTCCAATGCATTTCGAAAGCTACATTTATTTGACAGCTGTAGTTACTTACTTTAATAGACACATTAATGCATCAATAATCATAATCCAGTCATTTAATATTCATCATTCTGAAATGGGCAATAACACGAGTATATAGTATATTATATTTCAATGCCAATTTATCTGTTAAGTAAGAATTTTAAATCAGGACTTTTAATCTTTTTTTATAACAGTATTTCTTTACTATTTTAGTATTGCTAATTTTTCTTAAATAGTAAATCTGAGTACTTCATCCACAACTCAATGTGACTCAAGTGCCAGTTTGAAAAACCTGACTAAATATTGACAACAGTTTTTCTGCCAAAATGAACATACCTTTTCAAGTTCTGCTGATTTCCCAAAATGGGCATTAGAGTATCCCAGTATAATTAACTGCATGATGGGTAATGCAAAGTACCTCTGTGAGCCTCCTAGCAAAGCTCTCTGGTAAACGTTTCCTCCCATTTCCCATTTAATGGCGTCATTTAGATAATTAAACCACTTTCTGTTTTAAGCTCACTGCCAACCTATTCCCCGCATACTAATTTCCCCCCAAACAGATGTGAATGTGTTTGTTCTTTTTCCAATATACTAAACAACTAGTTTTACATGTGACAGTTCAGAATTTTAAACTCAAGATTTGCATATACTATCTCAAAATAGTTATACAAATCGGACAAATGAAGTGTGTTTCCAGTCATCAGATACAAACATTTAGCTCCGTTTTGCTCTCCGCTGACTCGACAGAAGATCTCCTGTGAGTCTTTCATTACAAGCAACCCCTTTCTTAATACACAGTCATTTCATCCATTTTTAATATGACAATGTTGATTATGGAAGCTTTAAGCAAAGAACTGTTTTCGAGATTTGAACTCTAAATCTAACTGAGACCACTCTTGACTTTGTCTCCTGGTTCGGTGACTCAACAGCAACACTGCAGTAGATTCAGCTGCGCGGTGTATTTGACATTATCTTTTCTTTCAGGTTTTCTACGATACAAAGATCCTCGGGAAGTTTTGTGGCCATGAGAACTCAGCTGATGGACATCACCCCGGCAACCAGCCCATCTTGTCTCCAGGCAACAGACTCAGCCTCGCGTTCCAGAGCGACGGCAACAACCCGGAGCGACGCCAGAACGTCGGCTTCTCCGCTCAGTACCAGGCAATAGGTAGCCTAGGAGCCTAATATGTTTGTTTTTGTTATATTATTTAGTTTAGATATATCTTGCAGTATTATTCTGGACACTTGGTAGTGGTATTTAGATGCACTGTAAGTCAAAATAGAGGCAAAGCAAAGGTAAAGGGGGCGCTCAAAGTTCTTAGCGGACCTACAGACCATACCACATCAATGCTACTACTTTCTAAATTGGTAAACATGGTACGTTCCTCTCTATAGTATCAGTATCTTCCCCAACACGTTGACTGTTGGTGATCAAACCACCTATCTTCTGGTTGTTGGACAACTCTACTTCCTACTAATTCACAGTCTGTGTATAACTACTTTCATAAACGACAAACTAAAGTGCATAAAACCACTGTAAAATATGATGGTTTGTGTCTGGGTAAGATCACTGTCTATTATTAGTGGCAAGTAGAAAAGAGGACATTGAAAACATCAAAATTGCCATTACAGGAAGCACACAAGGGGAACTTTGACTTGCAGCAGAGCACAATAAACAACAACAGAAAACACAGAACAATACAACAATAAAATATAATGTATTATATCAATGGTAACTCTTCCACCACTGATCCTCATCCCTCTAACCCAGGGGTCTCAAACTCAAGGCCCGGGGTCCAAATCCGGCCCGCGACTTCATTTGATGTGGCCCCGCAAGAGCTTGCAAAGAATATAATACGTTTGTTATACGGTTACATGCAACTTTACAGAAGCAGGTTGCCCATAAACTACATGTCCCACAATGCATCTCGTTTTGTGACATGCGCACTGAAGAGACTTGCAATTATTTGCCCTGGACTTCTGCTTTCAAACTTAGTTAATTACGAAGTTATTATCCTATCCGATAATAATCCAATTCAGAGGCAATAATGTAATATAATACATTTTATATATTTATATTATATATTTATATAGTTACAAGCGGCCCTTTGAGTGCAACCTTTATGCGAATGTGGCCCGCGATGAAATTGAGTTTGACACCCCTGCTCTAACCCAACATGTCTTTTATCACCAGACATAGACGAGTGTTCTGATCCAGATCCTGAAGACGGCTCAGGTCCGCTCTGCTCTCAGATCTGCCTCAACACCCTCGGCTCGTACCTCTGCTCCTGTCACCACGGATACGAGCTGCGCTCAGACCAGCGCAACTGTGTGTGTGAGTGTTGAGTATACAGACGAACTGAGACGTTTTTATTCCCACTTTTCTGTGTCCATGAGCTTTAAGTCGTAAGAGGGAAACAACATGTACGCTGCAAACTAAATGTGACTCCTCCAGGTACATTTTTCTCCAGTCTGGGATTATTCTTTTCTGGTTATTTAGTTTTTATTGTTATCAGCCTTTGATCCAGATCTGCTACAGATGTTAATGGTTACTTCCTTAAGCCCATGCTACACCTTTTACCCAAGTTTAGGGTTAGTAGTTTTGCTGTACTGTCTTAAGTATATCTGCTTAAAGACAGACATACCGAGTGGAAATCATAACCTCCTTTGTGGAGTGAACAAACACTTTTATAAACATTAAATCTAAGTAAATATAGCGTTGTTAAAATCCAAACAAGGCGCAAACAACATGTTAAATTTCATGAATATGATTTGATGTAACGAGTTAGCTCAGCGGACGATTGAGCCACTGATGGTGAAGCATGAACAAAGCACCTGAACAAAACATTTAACATCAATCGTCTTCTTTTGATTTCCCAGTATCCTGCAGCGGCGGTATATTTGATGAGCCAGAGGGACACCTGTTCAGTCCAGGATATCCTGACCCCTCGCCTCATGCTCTGTCCTGTCAGTACGTTATTTCTGTAGAATCTGGCTTCACTGTCACTCTCAAGTTCACTGACAACTTCCACATTGAGAGCGTGGACACTGAGCAAGGAACAATCTGTCCCCATCACTGGTTGCAGGTAACGACGAGCAGCCTCCTTACATTTCATATGAATAACTTTGCTAAACAGATATAATAACTTAGCTGTGTCTATTTAAAAGGTGACCGTCCCAGACAAAGAGCCCTGGAAGCTGTGTGGAGGAAAGAGTCCAGGTCTGATAGTCACAAGCTCCAACAGCGTCCGGCTGGACTTCCACACTGACGGGGAAGGCCTGAGCAGAGGCTGGAGCCTGGACTACAGCACACACAGTGAGGGGGGGGGGGGGAGTGGGAGGAGAAATAAGCAATACAAGTGCTGCAGGGAGGATGTATTTTTGTAGGTGAACCCTGAAATTAGCATGGCCCTGGTTCCATCGACAAAAAGGCACATTTATTTTTCCATTCCATTTTGGACTATTGAGGAAAATAATCGGGATTGCAAACAAATAATTATGACTTTTGAAATGATTTAATTATTTCACGTTTTGTTGTGTGTCGTTTTGTTAACAAAAAAAAATTGTCCTTCCCCAGCTCACTCCCCCTCCATCTATAACAAAGTGCGCCGGTAAAAGCAACCGGATATAACCGCAAACGTCACCACCCTAAATCCAATAGACACACCCACCACCTATAGTGACTCAAAAAATGTGACGTAACAAACACAGAAAATACTTTACGTGTGGCTCCTACAGGTGTGTTCAGGGGTTTTCTGTTTCTCCTGTTACCACACACAACAGTGATACTGACACACAGCTGAACATCACTTCAAATTTGCCAGAAGTAACCCAACTTTTTTTTTTAATCACAGATTAAGCTTCAAATTTCAAGAGTGGGGTATTTACTTACTTATGTCGTAGCAAAACAAAAGTGAAAATATCTTTTAGCTTAAAGCTTGTTAAAGGTCTCCTATTATACTCTGTTTCATCAATATATGATAGGTCTCAGATACATACAAAACATGTCTCTGAAGTGTTTGGCTCAAAAAACACTTGGCCAAATCTGATTATCTCATTTCAGACAGATTTTTAAATAACCCTTAACACTCTGGGGACACATATTAATGTATAAAAGACAAGAAAAAGTGGATTTTGTATAATTGGTTAGGTTACCTTTAACCACAGACTTTCAGACATCTTGCCAAAAAAGACATGACCAATAGACTTTGGGATGAAGGAACTGGAAGTGCAACAATTCTCATGTCATGTCTGGGATTTAGGACTCATTCCTGCAGCACTCTTGATTAAGTGTGAACATATTATGCCAGAGGAACAGTGAAATGCATTTCCCTGCTTACTGTATATGCAGTAAATGATACATGTCTGCTTGATATCGTTTCCAGGAGTGGAGTGTCCATTTTCTGGTAGTGTGGATAATGGCCGAGTCACCCCCGACCTGAGCGAGTATTTGTACAGAGACTACATCTTTGTGCGCTGCGACCTAGGATTCAAACTCATGACGGTTAGATCAAACTTTTTTTTTGTTTCAATGGAGGGCACTTTTTTGTCATTTTGTGTTTTTATAAGTTCCCCTCTTTACTTTTTCAGGATGCTAAGGAGGTTGAAGGTTTCTCTACCATGTGTCAAAACAACGGACAGTGGCACCTTCCTCTCCCAGAATGCCACAGTACGTTACCTTTAATCTCCGTCAAAACATCCAATTGTACATACATGGAAACTGATTTTGGATTCAACCTTAAGTTTAGTGTTCTCAATCATTTCCTGTGTTCCTCCATATGAAGATGTCCTTGTTTTATTTATCCTGCAGTTCTTGATTGTGGAGAACCTGAAGCTCTGCTGAATGGAGGGGTGAACTTCCTGTCTGGATCTCAGAATCAGTACCTTTCTGTTGTTCAGTATCACTGTCATGAACCATTTTACTCTCTCCTTGGAGGCATGAATGGTGAGATATTGATGTGTAATATGCTATCATGTACAGCTTAAGACTTTCCCCACCATTCATACCAGCCATAGCCCTCAGTTAGCAGACTCGCATGAAACGTACATGGAACTGATAATGCACTTTGGAGGCAGATTGATTTCTTTACTGCTTTGCATCTTACCAATATTATGTATTTTGCTGTTAAAACTGATGAATTGACAACTGGAGGAATATTTTAGAGTGTGCCTATTGGTATCATTACAGGGATTACAGTTTACATAACTATCCACATGAACAGGTACCAACAGCTTCCGATTGAGTAGCATCTAACCGAGCTTTAAAAACATTTAGTGGCAACAGATTGCTCAGTTTCCATTTTAATTGCAGACTATTCCAGGACAGTGGAGCTGCGCATCTAAATGCTATTTTCCCTAAGACAGTCCTAGCAGTTGGCACATTTAATAAAACCACAGCATGCGATCTCAGGCAGTAGCCACTTACAATTCGCCGTGAGATCAGGGAGCACCTTAAACAGTAACCATAAAACAAGCTATAAAACATTTGGTCCATTGCAATACCTACACTACTAAAAGTTTTAATAAGCGAAAACAATTTTAGTATGTTTCAATACATGGAATACCAGGAAGTTCTACTGCAGCAGGTCGCATTTTGCAATATGCAACCAGGCATGCTTTTCTGGCTATTTTGACCCACGATCCTTTGCACAGCGGATATATGAGCAAAAGGATGAAAGTTTAAGTAGTAATGTAAAGAGTATATCCGACTTGTACACATACAGCATGCAACAGTCTGGACATGATGAGGGCTGCTGCAGTAAATAGGGAAAGTACAAAGTTACCATGCAGTCATTTAGAAGGCAGCCATTGTTTCACAGTCCTTTTTTAAAGCATCACTGATGGGTGTTGTTGCAGCTGTAGTAATCCAATAAAAGTGCCGTGAGGGACTAAACAAGAGAAAAACATTGTCTGACGCGCAAAAAAGCAGTCTTTCTACTGGTATGCGTTTGACCTTGTATTTGCAAACGAAACAAGCAAACATACAATTATTTCTAGTCCATATCCAGTGATTGCGTATGCAGTCAACAAAAATGTGTCCTTCCCCAGCTCACTCCCCCTCCATCTATAACAAAGTGCGCCGGTAAAAGCAACCGGATATAACCGCAAACGTCACCACCCTAAATCCAATAGACACGCCCACCACCTATAGTGACTCAAAAAACGTGACGTAACAAACACAGAAAATACTTTACAGTACGTGTGGCTCCTACAGGTGTGTTCAGGGGTTTTCTGTTTCTCCTGTTACCACACACAACAGTGATACTGACACACACTGGAGTACACTTCTACTCAACTCACTGATTTGTCTTTATGACCCTCTCTCTACTCTGCAGTGGTCTTCACCTGTGAGGCTGACAGAAGGTGGAGATCCAACAGCGATATTGTTGTCAGTCCAGCATGCATACCAGGTACTGCTTTTCATTACAAAATAAAAACCTACAACACTTAATCTTAGTTTGAATTTGAAGTGTGCACTTGTGTGAAACTTTGAACATATATATACCTCTCTTTTCCACTCAGTCTGTGGCCAGCCCACAAATCTCATCCATGGCTACCAGAGGATCATTGGAGGCGCTGAAGCTCCAGCCGATACCATCCCATGGCAGGTGCTCCTGAGTATAAATGGAGGAAGAGCAGGAGGCATGGTGATTGCAGACCGCTGGATCATGACTGCAGCTCATAACCTAATGTCTTATGGAAAGCCAGTAACAAACGACGGTGTACAGGTAAGTGTGCAGAGGTGGAAGGAGTACTTACAGTAGTTCTACCACAGGTGATATTACTTAAAAACAGTACATAGTTACTGTCCACCATTGTACTGTAGGTGGGGCACTGTGGGTGTTATCTTTATCCCCAAATGTAAATTAATTTCCTGTTATGCTGTCTATTTGCAGATTTTCATGGGACCCACTCATGTTACTCATGTGCTTGCTGCTTCACTCCACATTCACCCTGAATACAACAACCCCAACCACGTAAACTACAACCATGACATTGCCTTGATAAAAATGCAAGGCACAATCACATTCAACTCCTCCGTTATGCCCATATGTTTGCCAGCAGAGGATACCACATACACTTTTGGCGTGATGGGGTAAAGAAACAACTGGTTTTCATTTCAATATTCAATATAATCTATTTCTTTTGGATAATTTTTGATCCGCCTTATTTTATCTTGCTTTTGAAATGTCTTTTTGGTCCTTTGATGCACCAACATGCTTCCAAATTGGAGACTTTCTATTGATTACACTTTCATATATATTTTTTTCAGAATTGTGTCAGGATTTGGCATAACAATAAATGCCGACAACCAACGGGTTTTGACAGACAGATTGAAGTACGCGGAGGTCCCTATAGTGGAGCAGCAGAAATGCAACAGGTCCATCACTTTGGTGCAGAGCACTAGAGCCAATGTCCCAAGTCTGACAGGTAACATGTTCTGTGCTGGACTGGATAAAGGGGGGAATGACTCCTGCCAAGGGGACAGTGGGGGCCCGTACTCCATGTGGAAGGACAAACGTTTCTGGGCTATGGGGATTGTCAGCTGGGGGGTCGAGTGCGGGAAGAAGGGAACATATGGAGTCTATACCAGAGTCACAAATTACATAGATTGGATCAACAAAACCATGCATGAGAACTGAAATGCCCAGTAATTCAAAGACATCCACCATAAAATGACATTAAAAAAACAGCTAAATTTGCTTTTTACATAGTCTTTCTGAGGTGAAATATATGTATTGTCACAGGAAAGCTATAAAACAACATCATACAGTTGTCAAAACGATAAATAAAGTCAATAAAGACCTAAATGTGACTTTACATGTCAGTATCTCGTTTGTTTTTACAGATCTTCTCTCTGGTAAACATAACTCGATCACTTCCACATGCATTTAACCAACTTTGTATATGGTCCCTATCATACCATGCATGCCACTATTGTATATTATAAATTACTCAACTTCTGACTCTTCACAAACTCTGACTTTGTCCTCCTGGGGGTTAAATTCATTGCAGACCACAGGCCGTGTGTCATTAATGCTCCATTGAGACGTTTAGCCTTAAACAGCAGCTCCTCAGAGATCAACTAAGTGCAAACATGATGGTGTGGACCTGCTGTGTTATTATTTGGTAAGTGTTTTTTTAATTCTGCTAAGTTGTACTTTTACTCCACTACATTTATTTAGTTACTCTAAATCAGACTTTAGTTCCACCTGGAGTAAATTCACAAGCTACCCTGCAGTATATAAAGTCATTAAAACTAGCTGCACCTTTACCAGCTTTGAGAACACTTTAATGATCAATCATTATAAAACACATCATATATATTATTCTGAAATGGGCTGCACAATGACTACTTTTACTTTTGGTACTTTAACTATATTTCGATGCTCATGCTTTTGTACTTTTACTCGAGTAACATTTTGAATGTAGGACTTTTACTGTAACAGAGTATTCCTACACTCTGGTACTTCTACTTTTACTCAAGTACAAGATCCGATACTTCTACTTTTACTCAAGTACAAGATCTGAGTACTTCTATTTTTACTCAAGTACAAGATCTGAGTACTTCTACTTTTACTCAAGTACAAGATCTGAGTACTTCTCCTAACATCTGCATTTTTGTAATAGAACGGGCTTAACGAGTGACTGTTGCTTGTTTATAGTAACCCCTGACCCGCTTCTTGCTCTTCTCTCATTGGAGGATGCTCTCTGCTCACTTTCACTTTCTCTCCTCTGCTGCTGCTCACTGCGCATGCTCCGGATAGCGAATCGGCTCATTGACTATAGCTCAATAGTTTACTACTATATTAGATCAATTTCTGAAACGCTATTTTACATCAAGCATGGGATGAAGGAGAGGCTGTAAAATACCCGGATTGTACCGATGCAATTAGCTGTTTTTAGTTTTTTAAATCAAAAGTGAAAGTACTTTGGGGGTTTTTGTGTTTGATAGAGGTTATTTCACTTTATCTTTTAGTAACATACTAACAGTTAATCCTCTAAAAACACTCTTTATTCCTAAAAACACGGACACAGGAGGACTCCATAATGATGATTCAAGTCATTTTGTTTGGATACTTCCTGACGTGCGTTTCTGGTAAGATAACTCATGATGGCATATTGACGCAGCTCTGAATGGACACTAAATGTACCGTCCTTCAGTTATGAATCTTGTAAAGAAATATTAATTTAACCTTAATGTAATTGGCACTAATTAAATGGAAAATGGAGATAGTGTTAACTTCCTACACTTACAATTAATTGTATCAAATGAACTGCTAATGTATGACCTAGAATAATTTAGTGCATAACAGATTATTTTAACATGCACAAATATGAAAAAGTAAATGTCATCAGATGTGTGAGAAGAAAGAGATTTTAGCAATACATAGGAGTTTAATTCAATGACTTGTCTTTATATAGAATTTGTCAAATTTAATTAATCTGGAAATCAACCACTGCTTTTAAAATCAACACAACTAAAAATAATTTTAGGAAATATCTCAGAACTCTGTCTTAAAGGTAGGGTAGGTAAGTTTGAGAAACCGGCTCGAGATCGCTAGAATTTGAAAATACACAACCGGAGAAAATCTGCCACTTCCTTATAGAGCCCCTCCTCCAACACACACGAACGATGTGTGATGTATGATGAATTGGAAATGGGGGACCCTGATGTAAACAAGACGAAAGTCTTTCTCTGGTCTGCATCCCCTTAACAATTGTATGTTTTGAGCTGTACTGTACTGTACCCAATATACAAGCTGTTAATAAACTTTTCAATCAATCAATCAATCAATCAATCAAACGCGCACATGACCAATGAGGGCACGAGATAAGTTTGTGCACAGATGGAAGGCTGACAGGCAGGTAGGCCATCCAGTTATTTTAGCCGGGCCGGCTAAAATGATTGGTCGTGCTTTTTACAGTATTACAGCTTCCACAGATGACATTTTTTTATGGATTTTTTGTCAAAGCACTTAAGATATTCATTGCTATCGGGATGTTAAGAGCATTCCATGGAATATAACAAAAAGTGTATCTCGAGCCGGTTTCTCAAACTTACCTGCCCTACCTTTAATGTGCCTAAAAATATATACCAAATAACAAAGTATTTCCCAGGTAATGTAAGTACATCATTAGGAAATAGTGGCTCCATAAAATAAAGTCTTGCTTTTTGTTTATTAGTAGTCTTCTGTTATTCATTTACCTAATTATGTTAAAAAAGTTAAATGTAGTTATCCTCCACTTCTCGAGTAATAACTTGTCATTCATTAACGTTTTTAAGTTTTATATTCCCTCTGTTCCTCAGGTGACGGGGTTGCGGATGTGGTTCTCTCTTGCACCCTGGTGGAGGAGGGGGTGGGGGTGGATGGGATGGGAGGCGGGTCTCAGTTCAGACGGACTCCAGCCACCCTCATCCTAAGAGACGTCCCAGTGGCTCCTGACCAATCCCTGGAGACACTCACTCCGTTTGTCCCGCCTTCAATCCCTGACCCAGAAGCCATCCTGTTAGAAGCCAAAGGTGTTTACTTCCTTCCTTTATATTAAAAGTTTGGTGTAAAATGAGCATGGCCTGTGACCATTTTCAGGTTCATATCAGTATTTAGTGTCTCTACTGGGACATGTCTCCGTGCTTTAATGTTCAAAAAGCTCTTTATTGTTCTCATACTGCCTGTGCTGCAGCACCTCTTTTCACCCTCTGTCTGAAACCAGAGCCCAGTCTGCTCTGATTGGTTAGCTGGCCGGCTCTGTTGTGATTGATCAACCGCTTAGAGATGTCCCGCCCCTTAGTCTATCACGTACAATGTGTAGGAGCAAGTGTTACATAGTGATGTCAGTATGACCAACAAAGGAGTCCAATGAAGAAGTTTCATGCATGTGTGTGTGCGGGAGAGGGAACACAGGGATTTTAGCCTTTGCAGACCATTTACATGCACACAAACCTATATAACACACTACAGGAAAGGGAAAACCCCCCAAAAGCATAATAGTGCCTCTTTAAATGCCTCTTGTCCTTCCCTCTGTTGCAGTGTCGTCCCCTCAGATCCCTGATGCTCATGTGTTACTCCACGCTGACTGCAATGAGCAGGAGGTGATGTGTGAACTGAGCCGTTACTCTCCTCATGGACCCCAGGAGGCTCAGGAAGCGACTCATTTCCTGGTGTCTCTGAGTGTGGAGGGAGGCGAGTTCAGCACTGCGTTCATTCTGCAGACTTCAGTGGTGGAGAGGGACCAGTCGACCCTCATTCAAAATAAACTGGGTCTACCTCTCAGTCCCTCGGGAACTCTTCTCACTGAAGGTTAGAACAAGTGTTTAATATCACTCTTTGAATCGTTTCTGTTGGGAAAATACTGAATGTACTCTTCCAATATCAGAGGACACATGATAACAAAGGTATCCCAACTGTAGCTGTGTACATGACAGGATGTATGATTACCTAGAAGAGCATCAGGACTGTTTTAGGCATATGATAGCTATGTGATTAACATGATGATTCAGCCTCTATGGAGATAGACATATGACAAGCATGATCATTTCTGACGTGGAGCTAATCTGAAGTAAACATTGAATACTGCTTTCTATTCCTCCATCTTGTGACTGTGTAACTGCCTCTCTTGGATATCAGCATGTGAAGGACACTGTTCAGGAACTAGTTGATGCTCTGTATGTGATGACTACTTCCATTCTGGAGAGGATAATACATAATGGATCCTGATATTGAAGCTCAAGCCGGTGACCAGTGATATTTTTCTAACAGTTTCCATCAACAACATCACGACAGACTATTTTTTCTCTTTGTTTTCTGTCCTGCAGTGATCTTCCTGGTGTTTTCCCACATAAAGTCTGTGTCCGCCCCTCTGAGAGGAGACGTTCTCCTGTACTGTGGCTTCAGGCAGCAGGAGACCCCCTTAGCGCAGGAAGTGGCCGTTGAATGGCGACTGCAGCACCGGGGGAAAGGCTGGAAAGTGTTTGAAATGAAGACGAGGCTGGATGATGCAGAGGGGAGCCCAGTGGGTGAGTGCTGCCACTGGTACTCTGCTTTATCTGGATCAGAAATCTCTGTGTGTGTGTGTGTGTGTGTGTGTGTGTGTGTGTGTGTGTGTGTGTGTGTGTGTGTGTGTGTGTGTGTGTGTGTGTGTGTGTGTGTGTGTGTGTGTGTGTGTGTGTGTGTGTGTGTGTGTGTGTGTGTGTGTGTGTGTGTGTGTGTGTGTGTGTGTGTGTGTGTGTGTGTGTGTGTGTGTGTGTGTGTGTGTGTGTGTGTGTGTGTGTGTGTGTGTGTGTGTGTGTGTGTGTGTGTGTGTGTGTGTGTGTGTGTGTGTGTGTGTGTGTGTGTGTTAGTAACTTTGAAACTTGTGTTCGTAATCATCAGTTTGTGTGATTACTTTGGGATTGAATTCCTCTTAACCACATAATAAATGGGTTGTTAAATTATATATTTTTTTACATTTAATTAGTGAGATAGTTCAGCTAGGACCAAGCTCTAAAACCCAGAGGAAATTACATAATTGGTCATCAATTTGTGTAGTTACTCTAGGAATTAATCTTGTATGTACATGTAAACTACATTCAACAGCCTTCGCTAAGTATAAGCAGTCTGCGCAAAAAATACAAGTAAGAGAGGACAAGAAAAAAAAAACAGTGCAACAAAAAGCTGTCTCTAAATCAAGCCAGAAGATGGACCTCGAGTTGAGATTGTTTTTCAATTATTTCGGTTTCATTCTCTGTGGTCAGTGCTGGCAGAAAGGAAGGGTTCGAGCGTGGACGCCTCTCTGGTCGTCGGACAGGGAGACGCCTCGTTGACTCTGTCCCGGCTGAA